ATTCGGTTATCGATTACACCAATAAGAAAATTTGCGGGATTCCACGGAAAGTATATCACTATAAACGCGCCTAACTAATATGGACAAAAAGAAGCTAAAATAAGACGAACACCATTTATAATATAAAAATTGTGTCAACAAGCACATGCAACAAAACTAAAGTAAGGGATCAAATGTATGCCACCAACACTCCAACGGTATAAAAAAAACAAAACAAAACAAAACACATCATCACGGCTAATTCTGTTTTCCATTAATTTGAACTTCATTTCCTTGATCTTTAAGTATGATCATTCCTTAAATATGGTAGAGGAAATAATAGGGTAAGGGACTTAGGGTAAAGGAAAGGGTATAGGTTAGGGAAAATAATATTGTATAGCCGCTTTCAAAATAGTAGCGGAATATATATACATTCTGTATGTTATATTAATCTACACAAATAGGTAATTACTCATTTAACAAGTGTCTACAGTCTAGGGGTGTGCATTCGATTTATCGATTCGATTTTGACCCTTATCGATAATTACTTATCGATTATCGATTTGTACATATGCTTATCGTTATCGTTTCAATAAGGTTTCGATTTTTTCGATTTCGATTTCGATAACAAATAATCGATTCGATTTATCGATAAACCGATTCGAATGCACACCCCTACCGTGAAAAGCAACAAATTTATAAAGAAATTGTGTTTTTGACTTGTGATTTAACTCAAACTAAAATGGAGGGAGTAACATTTTTAACCACTGTACTATTTTTCCAACAAAAGTTTTGGCAAGAATTAATGGTGACACAACATTCACTTTCACAGTGTACATATACTAAGTACTGCCAATAGTTGTACCCTTTAACGTCTGTTTTGGTTGTCCTTTTTGCCTTCTTCTGCGTTAAGTAGTTGGATTCGAAAAGCCTCACGTTTCTTTTCCCTTATAGCTGCTCTTTATGAGGTAGTTATACTCTTCATTGGTCATCACTTCATCATCGGTTCTTTTTTCTCATCATCAATACGGTTACTTCTAAATTTAGTGCCTCTCCAAAATTCTCTCCAATTTCTTAGTAAGTATATGTTTGTGTCCAAAAAAGATTGGTCTCAGATTGACCCCATCCCTCTCCAAAAGGTCACAATTTTATGGGAGGTAAAGTTTACTCTTCCTTTATTTTTTTTAAAAAGTTGAAGTTGAAAAAAAAAAAAAAAAAAGGAGTTATGTATGTTGTATATAATTTCGTGCAGCCTACTGCAAATATACCAAAAATGATCTAACCCATTATTTTAATTAATATAATGTTCTTGTACATCAGTGGCCATGAGGTGATCAATCATAAGTCCCCCATCTAAAATCAATCTTGAATGGGAGATTCAAATCTTTTATGGTCCAGACTCCAGCATTCCATGTGTATTACCAACCCAATAATTTTTGTACATTTTATACCCTTTTGTTATAATATAGATGTTCATTCTTTTTTCAAAAATATGAATCTTTTGGTATACCAAATATTTCGTCAATTCTTCTCCTCTGTACATGCACCTCAGTTCTATCATTGGACAAGGTTTTGTCACTTGAAATTTGCATTCTTTCACAATTCTCAAGCTTACAAATATATGATGAATAGTCAGATGGAATAATGCTCCTTTGTTATGTACCACGAATAGAAGCACAATTATTTGAAAAGTAATTCAATTTATATTTGACCATTATTTTTGAAAATTTTAAACAGTGTTTTAAAAAGCATGGGCGTGAGGCGAGGCGTTTTACATATGCCTCAATGAGGCGTAAGCCCCATAGATATTTAATTTAATATTTTATAAAATTAGATAATTACAGTAAATATTCATAAACAGGTAAAATAGCATAAAAAATAAAGAAAACTATATATGTGTGTGCGCGCGCGCGCGCGCTTCATCCCCACAAAAAACTAGTCAAAACAATCTATTATACACTATTTAGAAGCACAAGTAGCTTGAGTAGAAAAGAATAAAGTTTTCTACATGGAGGAACAAAAAGACTGACGAACCTGCAATTTGAACTTTGAACTTACTGCTATGAAGGAGAATGAAGTTCTCTTTATATTTGTAAAAAAAATTGAATATTCGTTGCTTTTGGGAGATATTAGCAGATTAGTGGACAAGATAAATAATTGGGAAAGACCATGAATTAGGGCTTCAATCAATAAAAAGGTCTTGACTTTTAACTTTTTAATATATTTCAGTTCCTTTTTAAAACTTTTGAGCAATTACCAAGATGAATTTTGAGAATTTGGGTATTATATGAAGGACTTATTCAACAAATTTTGTTTTAATTTGAAAAAGTCTCTGAGTCTTATGCCTCACTAAAAAAACGCTCCTCAAACGCCCGGCCGTACGCCTTCCACGCCCGGAGGTATGCCCCGAATTGCTGGGCGTACACCTCTTGAGACTTTCGCTCCATACATTGCCTCGGGACGTTTTTGGTGCGCCTTGCCCCGAAAACGCCTTTTAAAACACTGATTTTAAACTATAAATTGTAGTCGTTTTACATAAATTCTATGTATGTAATTTTACCTTTTCAGGATAATTTTTTTTCCCTTTTCAAATTGCTGCTGAAATTGAATATGTTAACCTTTGTTTTTCGCACATTTGTTATTGAACGTGGGTGAATAAGATTCTTATTAAAATATTACGATAATAGATCAAATATTATTTTTTGCGTAACTATCATAATTTTCGACATTTATGGTTAATGCTTGGTTATTCTAATGATCTTGTAAATTACTTCGAACTTGGAAGTTATGTTCTATGCTCTTACCATCGAAAATAATTTATAGTTCCAATAATGAGATATCGTCAATATAATGCCCTAACGTGGCGGAAGATTAGGGAAATGTATGAAGGAAAATTCCGCTAACATTCTCTGTTTTAAAATAAGTGGGCTAAAATTTTCAGTTTAGTTGAATTTTGCCAAAATTTCTACATTCACGGAGATCTGCCTATTAAAAAATTATGCAACTACACAAATAACATAAATAAAGATACAAAAATAATAGCACCATTATTTTTATGCGAACAGCAAAATCAAGCACCTTAAGGAAAATTTTAAATTCGGAAAAGTAATGAAAGTTAAAAAAAAAGAAAGACTTCCTCTACCTATTTTCAATTACTTCAATTTGTCCGTTAGCAAGTTTATGTATATTTATGCTTTTGTATATCTAGGGTTTGTTTGGAAAGCCACAAGTAATTGAAATTGGTGTAATTACTAGAGTAGTAATTACACAGCCTAGTAATTACACAGTTGTATATTATGACGACCTGTTTGTTTGTCATAGTGTAATTACAGTATAATTATAAGTTTACTGTTTGGTTGCACAAGTGTAACTACACAGTTAGATTAAATTTTAAATGAAGTAGTTATCAAACTTAAAAGTTAATATAATAAATATATGCCTATAAATTTTTATAAGTATAAATGATATTATATTTGGTATTTAAGATGTATATTTTTTCATGAATATACATTAATTAATAATCATATATTTATAACCAATATTGTAAAAATAATTTATATTTTTTTAAATTAATAATATTTAGTTTAGATACTTACAAAAACTAAAAATATACATTTTGTAAGAACATCATGGAATTCATGTTTGATAAAATAAATTAATATTTATAATATAATGTCATAACATTATTCAAATGTTTGACAAAACTAATATATCAATTCTAACTAAAAAACGAGCAACATGCAATGTGAGTCTATACTACTAAAATAAATAAATTAGAACCATGAATATAACACAATTTCAAAATTCAAAAAAAAAATAGTTTAACATATGTCAAATTCCAACATAATAATAGTAAGTTCCACTACAACTTAAGATTAGGAAACATAATAAGTTTATAACAACATTCAACAACGAAATTCCACTATAATTGCATCACCCATTATATGACAAGTTTGTTAATGACTCATTATTTCTAATATTAGGAGGTGTAGTTTCAAAAATAGCATAATAAAATAAATAAAAAAAAATAAAGCAATTACATGGAATCACAAGAAGTAAAGGTAGAGAAATAAAAGATAAATAATATACAAAATAATAGAAATAAAAAGTTATAAAAAATAAATTAAAATAAAAACAAAAAGGAAAGAAACTAAAAAGCAACCTTGTAATTACGATCAATACTCACCTCCCCCTTGAGAATTGGAGAGTATAATTACACCCCTCTAATTACACCCAATTCCATGCTGACCAAGTAATTACTTGGCCAAACAAACATGCCAAACTGTGTAATTACATCCAATTTTATCCAAATCCATTTCCAAGGTGGCTTTCCAATCATGCTCCTAATATCACTCCAAGAGTTGAATAGTTTCCGAGAATTACAGTTTTTCTTTTGCTGGAGGAGAATTACTGTTATTGGGCGTATTATGCTCATTTACGCTTTTTTGTATTAAAGAAATTACTCCCTTCGTCCCAATTTATGTTAAAACACTCATAAATATTAATTATTTCATTAAGGATAAAATAAAAAGTTAAATAAGGAAGTACGACATTCTTTTTTGAAGAGACTAAAAAGAAAAGTAATATACATAAATAGGGACATATGAAGTACTTTTTATGTGGTATATTATGAGGATATGTTATTATTTGGGAAGCCAAACAAGTGTTTTTAACCAGTATAATTATTTTAGTCTCTTTTTAACTAGCTAAGATTCTGCTCATAAGCGTAATAGTATAAGCCTGCCTGATTGTGAGATCGACTAGTCGAACAGAAATGAAAGTCGGCCATAGTGATCCGGAAGTTCCTTGTGGAAGAGCTCTCGCTCAACGGATCAAAGGTACGTCGGGGATAACCGGCTGATGACTCCCAAGAGCTCTTATCGACGGAGGCGTTTGGCACTTTCATCTAATTTTTTGAATATGTGAATTTTATTAAAAGATTTATGATCCAATTTTGCACTAATAATTAAGTATTTTAATCCTTGCCGGTTCACATAAACTAGGATAAATTGAGACAAAGGAGTACTTTGTTGCGATTATCTGACCCCTGAAACTCCATACAGCCGCGAAGCATCATAGCGACTATTCAGCTGACCACCTTTCCTCCTTGTCCGTTTTTTCCCTCATAAGTATTTATTTCTCTCCATCATATAATAAATCTCAAATTCCAACACTTCTGATCACTTCTCTTCGTGTGTGCCGACCATTTCAGATTTTCAATCTCCCATCCCCCACCCCACCCTCAATCTCTGTATATATACACATTCTGATATATTGTTTCATCAACTTTCACTTGCCACAGCAACAAGGAACTCATTCTTCTCTTTGGGAAACAAACAATCTTTCTTTGACGATTTTAAGTATGAAAGGGAGAGGTTTCAGACTTGGGCGGAGGCTGGTGAGAGTTTTCAGCTGTTTTATTCGCCGGAGAACAAACGGAAGAGTCGGCGATAAGCGGTTGAGATCACAGGGATGTGGCAGCAGAGCCATTTCGAAGCTGAGTAAATGCTTACGCTTGCTGAAGCATGGAGCAAAAGGTATCTGCTTTGCTAAACCCAATTCGGGTTACTTCCGGGTCGGGCAAGAACCGATTGATCCAAAGCAAGTGAGTGTACCGAAAGGGCACTTGGCTGTGTACGTGGGCGAGAAGATAGATGATACGTGTAGAGTTGTGGTGCCTGTGATATACTTTAATCACCCTTTGTTTGCTGATTTGTTGAGGGAGGCAGAAATGACTTATGGGTATAATCATTCGGGTGGGATTCAAATCCCGTGTCGGATATCTGAATTTGAGAACGTTAAATCAAGAATCGCCGCCACGGGCGGTGGTGGAAACTGCCGTAGGTAGCGGAGGTGGTGGATGAGCCATTGGACATTGATGTAGGAGTTGTGAACACGGGTAAAAAATTGTAACGTGCAAGGTCACAACCCTCCATATCAATTAGGCCCTCTCTTTTAGCCGAGAGATAAGGGCACGTTGGTATGGGGAGGTTTAGTTTATGTTAGTTTTTTTTTTAATTTTGAATGAAAAAAATGGTTTACAATGATGTCAAGTGTTCTGGGTGTGAAGGGTTTATTTGTACAGATTTTGTTAACCTTCTAGCTCAAATCTCAAATGAAATGCAGGATTTTAAGATATTGAAATGTCCTTGTGTATCAGATCTTCACTATTTTCCTTCTTATTTTTCTTTATTTGAATGGAATTAATATCACAAAGTGATCAAGTATTATCTCTGTTTTGTCATTTGTGTATTAATGGAAGCATGTATTAGTTTACAGTTACAAGAATTGAATGTCAGTCTGGCTTATGAAGAGACGATCTGGGACTAACAGAATTAATAGTAATACCTATAACAGCATGTAAAGTTCTTATAGGTAAAGTTGCGTAAAAGTTTACCTTAACGGCCATTTGGACAGTTAAGGTAAAACGCGGTTCATAAAACGTGGTTCATAACCGCGTTTTACATAGAACGCGGTAACAAATCGCGATTTATGTAAACCTGAAAAGACAATTATATAAAACGCGGTCCATTACAACATTTTACATAAAGCGCGGTAATGAACCGCGTTTTATATAAATAAATATCAAAAACCCTTCCCTTTCCCCCATATTTTGCCCGGTCTTCTTCTTCTTCTTCATTTTTTTAAAAAAAACGGTCCCCCCTCCATTAACATGACACAAAGCTCGTGTGGACCCCACCCATCACGTAAAAAGTAGATTTTGCTGGTCGCACATCCTAGCCAAGCCGTCTATTGTTGTGGGTTGCTTGTTTTGGAGTCAAATTTTCGAATCTTCAACTTTCCGAAAAACATAAATCGAGGTATTCCAGTGTAGTTTATGTCCAAACTCGTATAAATAATGCATATTAGTTGTATTGAATGTGTTGTATGTGTCACACCTCCTTTTTTCTACACCCGTGAGGGTGTAAAGGAGTTTTCCAATTAAAGGACAATCGGAACGGGATCTATTATTAATATTCAGAGTCGCCACTTGGGAGATTAATGGTGTCCCAAGTCACCGGTTGAATCCCGATTCGAGGAAATTATGACTCCGTTAACAGTCCGCGAACCAGAAATCCGAGTAAGGAATTCTGTTAACCCGGGAGAAGGTGTTAGGCATTCCCGGGTTCCGTGGTTCTAGCACGGTCGCTCAACTGTTGTATTCGATTTTATCTGATTTCAAAACATGTCCAAACTCATGTGCTTTTATTAGTAAACCGCTTTTATTATTTTTTAATAAGAATTGCAACGTTGTGAAAATGCATCTCGAACCACGTCGCACCAGTGCACCCGTGATTGTTAACACATTTCGACTTCGTTGAGATTTGGATTTGGGTCACATAAATGTGCACCCACTTTTAGGAAGGTAATATTATTAAAACACGCGCCTAAAGCAACTACGAGTTTATTATATTTGGGGAAGACCGTGAAATTCGCTAAATGGTCCGCCCGAATTCTAAGCATTTTATATAGCATCTATTAAGGGACCCGCGATTTATATATTTGCTTAGCGAGGCTCATCCCATTTATTTTAAAGTCGACCTAGAAGAACTATGATTTTTCTATTAAGTATTGTCTCTACTAACAAGAAAAGGCCCCAATTAATTAGTATGTCCATGTATTATTGCCAAGGTATTCAAATAGGTGTTGAACTTAAACAAAATTGCCCCAAGGAAACGTTCAGTTTTGCGGGCCTTAAAACAGGCCCTTAAGAGAAATCAGGCCTTAAAACAGGCCTTAAACGTTCAGTAAATAAATGCTGTCCAGACATGGGCCTTATGCTGAAGACAAGCAGGCCCAACCGGAGAATATGAGACATGGGCCTTAACAGATTGATGCCTACAGCAACTGAATGATTCAAAAAAAAAACCTTATCACGACAAATAATTGACTACTCATGATTCAATTGAATACGAAATCAAAATTGGATTATACAAGAGTCAAGACAAAACGGTTGAACGTTCAATCCTTAGGCTGATTTAAACCTGTATTTCGCGTTTGGATCTGAATTTATACACTAAAATAAAACGCTACTGCTAAGGCTTAATCCCAGCACTGTATGTAAACCTACGTGAGTCTCATCCTCTTTATGCTACAAAACTACACTACACAATTGCAGTTGATGGTCCTATTAAACCAAACTAAAGAGATCTAAACAGTCCAATACAGTTCAAAGTTATTACAGATTTAACTAACGAAATTAAACCAAGCTAAATTGAATAGATGCGGATAACATAAACATCAAGCTAAGAGCAATAGGATTTCCCCTTTTCAACTTCTCAAATCAAATACACAGCACCATGTTCAGAGCTTGTACCTGGTAATTGCAAATAAGAAGGCAAAAGTGAGATCAGCAGCAATTTGAGCAATTGTAAAGCAAGCAGCAACTCACAGCAACACTTCTTAACCCAGGAATGACTTCAACAATCCAACATGCTTAAAACCGGGCAGGAACAACTAATCAACCTAGAACTGTTTCTAAAATCTCGGTTGAACTCAAAATTCTCTGGAAACCAGCTAAAACTACAACTGAACTCCACTTGCAAGAGATTAAGCTGAGAAATGTGTATCAAACAACAAAACTCGAATTTTTAAACTAAAATTTGAATGAAACAGTCTTTTTTTTTTTTGGTTTTCTGTTGATTTTCTAATGTTTTTGGATTTTGGAAGTCTTAAATTTCAAATTTAAATCTGAAATTGAAAGAAGAACTTTGGGAGGGGAATTTTTAGAGGCTGAAAAAACCTTGTGAATCAAGGCAAATGAATGCCTATTTATAGGTGAGCTTAGGTCCAATTTCAGATTTTCCTTTTACCCCATTGGTCCCTATTTAATTCTATTTTTTATCCTTTATTTTCTAACTTGTCACACAAGTAACTACCCTAAGTTTACTGAATTTCAGTTTAAAACCCCTTCTAGAAAGTCCTAGGGGGTTCTATTCTGATTTTCCTACCCTTAGAATCCCTAAATTACCCTTGTATTAATTCTGAAATCACTATTTCTAATAAAACTACCCTTTTCCATACCCAAACTACCCCTGAAACCCTTTTGGAATTACTGACCAACCCAAACCCAATTCCAACCACACCAAACCCTTCAGCTTGATCAAATGCTAACTATGACTAATTTCAAGGGTCTGAATTTGTTCAGTAACAAATAAAGTTCTCAAATATAACTCGACCCCAAAGAAGGATCACAAATCCAAACAATCCTAAATTATGGCTTGAATTAACTGCTGAAAAGTAGAAACAACAACTACTATCGGCCATTTTAACAGTCGACAACAAACAGAAATTAATCACCTAAACAAATTATGAATTAAAACTGACTTAATACCAACAAAACTAAAGCACCGGCAGATTTAAACACAAGACATCTAAACTGATGCAAAATTACAGTCTACACACTTTAGGCTAATTTTAAGAACAAGAGATTCAAATAATAAAAGCAAAAGGAATAAGAAAACTTACTTATGTAAGATTGAACGAAGACCAGACTTCAATCCGAGTCTCGAAATGATGTTAAACGTTTGTTACTTTGTCAAAGAACAAACGAAAAACATAGATTTACGTGTCTCTNTTTTTTGTCATTTTCTTCATATCCTATTCTAAAACAAATTAATCCCTAATTAATACTAACCATGCAAATGCGTATTTTTGTATTTTATATGAATAAAAATGCACAAACAAAATGCAAACAATTAGCACAAAATGACACCAAGATTCACCAAAATTGTAAAAATAGTAATAATAAGAAAAACAAAATTATTTTGTTTGAATTTTGGGAATAATTTGCTTAGGGCAAAAATCACGTGCTCACAGCTGCCCCTCTTTGCCCGGAAACACAAAGAGTTTTCGTGCAAAGACAAGTGAGCGGAAATGAGCGATTTTTGCCCGTTCGCATATTCCGTGTGAAGCAATTTTTGAAAAAGCTTGACCGCACCCTGCTTCAGAGGTTGCCTACATATCCTGGGCTAAACAGGAATCAGGTCAGTGTAGTTCGGGAAGGTTTGGTCGCTGGGACTACCAAGAGCTGTGACTTTCTGCTGTTGCTGTTGCTACTGCTTGCTGACCTCCTTATTACACCGTGTTAAACTAAAGAAGCTAGCCTAAGCTATGATCTACAAATTACAAGAGAGTCCTATCTATGTCTTCTAACTTGTTCTTGTGTTGTCTTGAGCTTGTATCTTGTATTCTTCCGATGGTATTCCTGTTGTTGTCTTGCATTGTGATTGGAGATGTATCGCCATTCCTCCGAGTGACATTTGACTGCTGCAATTTGAAATATGTGCCTTTATTCTCCAGGCGGGCTCTTGATTGTTGACGCTTGAGAAATATTCCCTTGTTCTTCAGGTAGGCTCCTGACTGCAACAAAATAAACAACAAAGAAAACTTTCTGCCCCAGTTTGGTAACTGGGTACAGCCTGTTATCAAATGTTAAAAAAGCTAAAATTTGAATTATACTTCCCTTGTTTTCCAGGTGGGCGCCTGACTGCTGAAGCTTGCAAAGTATTCCCTTGTTCTTCAGGTGGGCGCCTGATTGCTAAAACTTGAAATGTATTCCCTTATTTTCCAGGTGGGCGCCTGATTGCTGAAACTTGAAAGTATTCCCTTGTTCTTCAGGTGGGCGCCTGATTGCTAGACTTTGAAACGTATTCCCTTGTTTTTCAGGTGGGCGCCTGATTTCTAAACTTGAAATGTATTCCCTTGTTCTCCAGGTGGGCGCCTGACTGCTAAAACTTGCAATGTATTCCCTTGTTTTCCAGGTGGGCGCCTGATTGCTAGACTTTGAAACGTATTCCCTTGTTCTTCAGGTGGGCGCCTGATTGCTGAAATTTGAAATGTATTCCCTTGTTCTCCAGGTGGGCGCCTGACTTCAACAAAATAAACAACAAAGAAAANTCGTGATTAAACGACGTCAAAACGACGTCGTTTTGAGCATGGGGCAATTGGACCGGGCAGGGCGTTTGGGCCAGTGGCTTGGTCCGGTGATTGGGATTCTTTTGGGCTGGGTAAAATGTGACCAAACGGCCCAAAACTGAGTATTATTAAAGCACCCTCTTTTAAATGCTTTTGTTTCCATTTTTATTTCCTTTGTTTATTTTTTTGTAATTCATTTTGTATATATATATATTTTTTCTGATTTTATAAAAAATGCAAAG